CGTATACGGTACGATACGTTGTTTCATTGTTCAACTTTTTTCTCAAAATTGACTTGTTCTGAACGATAATATACGACAGCCGTAACTTCCTCGTAATTTATCGTTTACGTATGGTCGTATCCATCAAGGTATACGATAGTCGTATCTGATCGTAACTTTACGCATACTATAGTTTACGGTCGTGAAGATTACACCTGGGCATCATTGTCGCTCACAACACCGGCAACGCTGATCCGAAGGCAACGAGGTCTTTTCCCCTCTATTGGAAACGCTTTTAAGTCACTTGCAAAACTGTCGTAACTGTTGTGAAACAAGTTGTGACTGCAGTGGTAGATCTCAGATTAAAAGCAATTGGCCTCTACAACAAAGACATACAGAAACAAAGCATCCTTGGAAGTAAGTTAATATATCAGAATGAGTTCGTTTAGTTATTTTCATGCTCAAATACGATTTATTATGAGATACTTGACCGTTAAATCGTGTGTTTCAACAGAACTGCGGAACTTTATCTCCACTTCTTCGCCTGATGATAATAGATACTGTATTGTGAGCAGGATATGCTTAACAAGTTTGATAATTTTCACACTATTATTAGTCATCTCGTAGAACTCAATAAAATCTTGTTTTTTTAAGAAGGACTGCATTTTGGTGGAACCAGGTTGAAGTTATTTTCGGTAACCAATAGTAAGTATAAGGCAGTTACAACCTCATTAACAATGTATTGGGCAACATGCAATCTTGCTTTTATCCCCGGTTTTGTATTTGAATTAAAAATAACAGATGGTCATCTGGATAAAGTAATAATAGCTATTACGGGTAAACTGGACATTAATTTGATTTTTCAAGCAGAAGCAAGTGGTTCATATTCCTGTTCAAAAGTTACACACCCACAGGTCTCTCACAAACGTTGGGCACTCTCACATTTGTAATTGTGATTATTCCAGTTAATATACAACTCGATGCATTTTTATCAATAACGTATGGTTTGAATTTTAATATAGCTGCTTCTATAACAACCGGTCTAAGTTATTCAAAATCAGCTAAACTTGGTGTCCAATATGCAGATGGCAAAATAGGTAGTTTAGGGTAAAGCATAAAGAACGTCAGACGGATTGTTAGAGTTTTCTACTTGTTGCTTATCGTTCAGACTTCTTTTATACTTTTTCGATCTACAGAGCAAATTGTTTTTCTTTTCTACCAATAAATATTCAAAATTTCTCTAGAGACAAGAAGTAATGATAATTTAGGAATAAGCATAAAGCCCAAAAAACTAACTGGAAAAAATGAATACGTTCTTAGAGGTCCGCATTAAGTTGGACGTCTTTTATGGCTAATTACCTACAGTCATTTTGACCTTGCTACACAAGAATTTCATAAACCAACTCTGTCAGCAGAGGTGACAAGTTCAATACAACTTGGTTTTGTGGCTGAACAACAGCAAGTATATACTGTTTCAAATGATCATTTACGAATTCCAATGATGCAAACGCGCGACGAAGGATTGGTTTCATCTGTTCGTCACCCTCCATAATCGTTGTTTAGTTCTCATGTAAGTGTTTGCGCGATGGTACAGTAACGTCTGTTCAGTAATTCAAGAAGTCGTTGATGTCATTCCATATTTTGATAGAAGTGGTGACAACGATTAGTTAGAAAAATTTGCTTCGGAAAGTTGGAGAATTAGAGTTAAATACATAACTCGTGTTGTATTACAGGCTTAGCTCCACAGTACGCAGTTCACATATCAGTCTGCCGTTCTAATTTATTTGCCGTTACTTAATGATATTTTTCTATATCATCTCCTCGAGCGTCCATTACTTCTTTCTGTCTTCTTCTTTATCATTTTTTCATTTCTTACACATAAATGCTTATTTTGTTGTTGTTGTTTTTTTGTTTTTTGTCATTACGTATGCTTAAAAGTGTGGTAAATAATGGAAAATGTCTTTTCTAACCACTTCTTTTTCTTTTATCTTTTTGTTCACTTGAGATTATTATTCAAACATTGGAATTTATCATTTTTTATGTTGCTTACAATGAGCGCTCTGCGTCCGATAGTACGATATGATTTACTTATGTTCTCTTCTTATTTATCAATAAAAAGTTTATACAAAAAAAAAAAACTTGGTTTTGAAGTAGCTTTTACACTAACACTGCAATTCGTCGTAAGTGGTTCGCTGAAATTAAATCCCTATTTATCGTATGATATTGCCGTTAAACAAAATTCAGTAAACAAAACACGTATTGATGCTACTGGAGTTCTATCGGGTCATCTTGATACAACTGTGCAAGCAACATTAGGAATTATCATAGAAGGAATTAGCATTGACCCGAAACATACCTCACCCACATATACATTGTATCAATTTGCAAAGAACCTTCTCTCAAGTGTAATCTGTAAGTATATATCCCAAGCAAAAATTTTCTATGGAGAGGAGCTAGCTCCAGCATAGACGTAACCGGGTAGTTGTCTAGGACGCGGAGCTAGGTAAATGTACCTTTTTACCTAGTTAGCTAGCGTCAACCTAGTAGTGAACCGAGCAGTAGGTTATCATAATCGAGTAGCAGTGGGAGGTTGACATCTAGGTTAACCGTCCAGTTAACCGACCCGTTAAGCTAGCTCCGAAGATAAAAAATATTTGATAAGAGGGAGGTTATCAACTAGGTTAACCGAACGGTTGGAGCGGAAAAAAGTTTTTTTTTTCCTGTTCTGTTATATATACACACTAGGTAAGGGAGGTGGTTATTCTGTAGAAGTACCGAAAGTAGCTCTTTCAGTATGCAAAAAAACGATGATATTGATGTTGTTTGTTTTGGTGTTGTTGTTGTTGTATTAATAGCAACATTTACATTTTCAATACTGGCTTTTTATTTTGATAATTGTTTTTGATATTGTTCTTCAGTATCAGTACTACTGTATATTTATCATTTCAATGACGTTTATATTTTCTGACTAAAACATGAGTAAAACATACAGGACAATGCCCCGTTTGATTACTTGACATGTTATAACAGTCTGTAACTTCACATCTGCGCAGCGTTTCTGTCTGGCGATGGAGCCTTGAACTATATATCACTCCATGCGCCTCGAAACGTAGTATAAAAGCATGAATCGCTTTTCCATTGCTGAGAAAATCAGGCGAAAAAGTCAAAATTCTGCCAGTAATTCTCAGTTATCTCAATCAGAACTCAACTTTTATGTAATACAAATATCATATTCGGAATCACGATCGGAAATTGATTCGATTGATGTATATTTCTGTCCTATACAAGTACTTTGATGTTTTTCAAACTTTCCCGTTAAAAATAAAAATCATCAAGATTTTCACCAAAAAATAAAAGTGAACTAAAATGTTCGAAATACATATCAGTCGACTCAGTTTTCGATCCTGATTCCAAATATGATATTTGTATTACAAAAAATTTAGTTCTGATTAAGATAACTGAATTACTGGCAGAATTCTGCCTTTTTCGCCTCAGATTTAGGAAAAATGAATTTTCTCAGCAATGAAAAAGCGATTCATACTTTTCTACTAGATTTCGAGGCGAATGGAGCGATGTAAAGTTCAAGGCTTCATCTCTACACAAAAAACGCCGCGCACAGTTTGCGAGCGGAGGAGGTCAAAATCGAAGCACTCTAAAGTTTGGCAATAGATGGAACACCTTTAATGGTTCCGGAACCTTCCAATAGATTGTTCTGTATGAAGCTTTTAGCGCTGATTTCGAATAACACGTCCTGAAGATTCCAAAGTCATGTGAAGCCAAGATATTGCACAATTTTCGAAAAGCGGAAATTTTTCAAAAAATGGATCTCTCCAATTTTTCAGTACACTGATAATGGACAATGGGAAGACTAAAAATCAGATATTCTTGATCAGCGTGAAATCCTCTATCGAATGATGTGTGATGAAGCCCAAAACAAAATAGTGCTTCAAGTTATAATTTGGCGGGCCTTAAATTAAGAGAAAATGAATACAAAACGAGACCAAAAGTTTTCTCAATCTTCATAAGGTACAGTATTTCCTAGTTTTTCATGTAAAAAACGTAGTTCAGTTTGTACGTTAAGCGGCCTTATATAGCGTGAAATTCTGCATTTTTGCTCTATAAATTAATCAGTTGAACTTTGCCTTTTATTTATTTCAAAGGGTTTTTAGACTCATTGTAAACAATTCAAAAAAGAGAGCAATTTGCGCTGTACAAGTGAGTGGTGTACCTAAAAAATTTGCAGTTTTGAATTTTTCTACCTGAAATGAGATAATTATGCGTCATGGACAGCCAGAACACAAAAAACATTCAGCTGTGTATTCTGAGCAAGAGTACAGTTCCTTCGTAATTGCTATTATTGTACATACCGCTCAGTGAAATGATCGATGCTTGAAGAGTTATCTGTCGCAAATTCAGAATATGAAGCAAACGCGTGTGCTTTGTTTTTTGTGTTTGAAGTGGAAAGGTATCTGTCTTATCATTTATTTACATCATAAGCATTGTAAAAGAAACGGTAGCAATAAAAACACTTACCGTTCTTGAGGGTGAGGCTGTCAATGACCGAAAAATTCAGAACATTTTTCGTGTGAAAAAGGTAAAAATACGAGTTTTTTTGTAATTTTTGTACCAGAGTAGGATTTTGAAAAACTCTCATACAAATAGTTTTCTAAAGCTCGTCAAGATCTACCAAATCAGGTAAAGACATTTAAAAAATACTACTCATTTTTTGCATTTCTTCGTCTTACTAAAAGTACTAAAACTCATAATAGTTATATCATTTTGTAGTTTTTTACGCAATTTTTCTCTTACGAGGGTGCGTTCCCAGGTGCCAAGCACTATTTCAGTTGGGGTTTATGGCACTCTGTAGTACTCGATGAGACTAGTAAAGGATTAAAAACGTTCCTCCCCATATGCAGTTCCGCTTGAGTTATACCTGTTTTACTGGGTTTCCGACCTATAATGAGAAATGCATCAAAAAGCTAAACAGAGAGCTATAGGACTGAAATTCAACCCAGCGATAGATCTAACATTGATTGAGATGTCCAAATTTCAGCTCTTCGTCGTGTTCCTTTCTTGAGTTATCGCTCGAAAAAAATGACCATTTGTCAGAGGGGCTGGTCGAAATAGCGCATATCTTCAACATTGAGTATCTCGAGAAAAGAACGCGAAGAAGAGCTGAAATTTGGAGGACATCTCAATCAATGTTAGATCTGTTACTGGGCTGAATTTCAACCCTATAACTCTCTGTTTAGCTTTTTGATGCATTTCTCATTATAGGTCGAAAACCCAGTAAAACAGGTATAGCTCAAGCGGAGCTGCATATGGGGCCCTTGAAAAATGCTACAAAACCTGACCGGTCCCAGGGTTCCCAAATGTGGGCCACTCGAGATATTCTGGTCTCCTTCTTCAAAAGGGATAGTTTTTGCCCTTTTCCAATGATTTTGGGGTTATTTCTTTCAGATAGACTACGATTTCAACATATCTGACCGTAGATTCAGAATCAGCACAAAAAAATGCATCAGGCTCTGTTCCCTCCAGATCTAATCGAGAGCTTTTATTTTTCGCTGAAAAACCGCCCCTGGTACCCCTCAGGGCACAGCCAAAAAGTGAAGTACGTCGAAACACGAACCTTTCCATGAAGTCGCTTAAAATTATGCCCTTAACATGTTTTGAGCCTATCGGAATAATTTCAAATTAATTTGAGATAGTTTCCATTGATTTGACTTTTTGGCTTTCTGCGCTATCTTGCTAGACAATAGGACAGACCAAACAATAGATTCTGCCGAGCTTTTTATCTGAAAACTAATCTTTCAGGTCCACATAAAGGGACTCTACAGCGAAAACTGAGCGCTGTTTTTTCCAGAATTCTGCAGAAAAGCATGTTCTTTTCCTGATTTTAAAAATGATAAGAAAAATCACGCAACTCAGTCAGATACCATCTCATGATATGAAATATCGTTTGCCGACACTCTGTTCAACCAAATTAAGCAGTTACTTTCGTCTTTACCTCGATCTCGAATGCTCCTCTCGACTACAGTAATCAGCAGGCCTAAATATGTCGCATGTGTAACAGTCGTTCGTAAACCCATTTATAACACGCTACACGTAAATGTTGTTGACCATCTCGTTGGGTATTACGTGCTATTGTCCATCCAAAAAAAGGATGGCCCGTGGGTATTTTTTGAATAACTTTTGAATAGCAAAAGCTAGAGAGCTACGGTTTTTGCATATAGAAAGAGGACTCG